CTTGGGAGAAGAAGACATAGTTGTGGCTGTAGTAGTCGCCGTCGGCGGTCGGTCGTCTGATAATCTCGATACTGCGGCGCCGGAAGTCGAAGGCAGCTTACCAGTCAGTTCCAGTCGATGTATTCTTGATTTGAGGTCGTCTAGTTCGTCCCATACCGTGGAGGGGGCTGTATTCGACAAAGTCGATTCCGTTCCCTCAGCCCCGTTGCCAGCCTCCTGATTTGCTTGACGTTGGAAATCGAATGACCGGACTAGAGGGGAGGAATTGTACGTCTTGTTGTGGCCATGACCCATGAACTTGTACGCAGAGCCTCGGTTTTGCCCACTTACATTGTTGTCCGTGACAGAGGATCTTCGACGAGAATACATGGAGTTTTCGGAACTAGGTTCCTGAAAAACTATCGATCGAGGTGTGACGGGGGACGGGCGCATGGTTGAGGTCGAGCCTCGCAGACGTCCTGTATCTTCTCCAGGATGCGCAGATGCTGCTTTTTCTCGTGGCAGTGCGCGATAAGTTGACATGCGAGAAATTTCAGTGGCACGGTCGTCTTCGTAGCCTCTTGATCGTGACCGCGCAGTGTCTTGTTGGTCAGAAAGCCGGCGCCGAACCCTGGGAGGCGAAGTAGGCTGATGTATAGGGACTACGGAGGATAACGGTCTTCGATGCGTAAATCGCGTTGATCGTGACTAGGTATGCAAGTTAGCCTCAGAGCTAGGACAGGTCAAAGTCGAGTTATATCTCCAGAAGCAAGCAATTGAGTACGTGGTGGGTACAGAAAAAGTTCCGCGCAGCCCGAGTGACCATGCGCCATACACAGCGCATAGCCGGCATCATAAAAAATGGCGAGGGAGACAATAAGATGTGATAGAAGGAGTGAGCTTACCACTACGCTGCGGGTATCTTCTTGGGATTGCTCATCTGTTTGACGCTGGGAAGTTTCTTCCCTGGCAATCTTAAGAAAAACGTCGCCAGTATCTTCATTATCGAAGGCGCCACGGCGGCTTGAGGCTAAAGGAGCTGACCGAAGTGCATCATCATTACCCCTGCCCTCCAAGGCGCGCAGTGTACGGTCATGGTTAGTGTCTTCGACTTCGTCGCCAGAGTCGTGGAAGCGCGGCCTCGAATTCATATCGAGAGTGAGGCTCTTGCGGGAGCCTGAAGATCGGAATGATCGAATTGGGGGAACACGAACAGCAGTTGACGGCGATGAATCAGTGCTACTATTGGAGGTGAGAGGCGGTCGGTACGAAACGGGAGGGCGATGGGAGGCAGATGCTCGCCTCTCATCTGAGTTGGTTCTGGACAGCGTCTTGGGCAAAATTAATTCGCGTTGGCCAGACGGCGATTGCTGAGGTGAATTGTCACTTGAGGAGGGCCAAGTGGATTGACCTTCTTGAGCGGCTTCGATGGCTTGGAGGCGCTCAGAGTTCAAAGAAGGTGGTGGGCCAGTGGAAGAGGTGCCAGCAATCGATCTTCGCGACACCAGTGGTCGCCGAGTTCGAGACTTGGAGGTTGGAGGAGCAGGATGCGGGGAGATCGCGTCAGGTGCATGTGCTTCAAAAGATGCGGGACGCTTAACCCCAGGCGAGAGTTGGATCACCGATGACAATGGATGAACCGAGGACGTCTTGGAATTGGTTTGTGAGAGCAGCGTGGTGTCAGATTCATAGGATGACTTGGATTCGTTGGGCTGCGAGAATGAAGATGCCGTGTTCGTTGATGGGTCTTTTGGCGCAGATGCAGATGCAGGCGCAGATGTTAATGCAGAGACAGCGTGTTTTTCGTCGCAGTGATGCGTTGTCGGGTGAGAAGTGTGAGAATGGGTCGTCGCGAGAGTTGCTGGTGCTGTGCCAGGGTCGGGCGCTGTCAATAGCCCACTAACAGTAGCGCTCGGGGGGGGCACTGGGCCTGGGTCTGCTGATACAGGTGATACTGTGGTCGGGGCGACTGAGACAGTCGGAGTAGTAGTGCTGGGGTCTGAATTGGGTGAGACAATCGGCGGCACAATTGAAGACTGCAGAGGAAGCGCCACTGATGCACTATTCAAAGTATTGGCGAGTGGTGAGGTTGGTGTTGAGGCTGATGCCGTTGCCTTTGCCGACGCCAATGTAGTCGGTTTGTGGTCAAGGTAATCGTCGGTGCGGCCGTCCTTGTTATTGTTTCTCGAATCGAGATTTTGGTTTCTGTTATGGTTGTACTGGTTGCTGCTGCTAAGGGACAGGGGGTCACCCTTATGAGCTAGGGGCACGCTTCCACAGCTACTGCTTCGCCGGTCAGTGAAACGGAAAGCGGGCAACTTGGAAGAACTGTGGCTTTGCCGGTGCGAGTCTGCGTGGGCAATGACAGTAGATGAGGAAGCGTCAGATTGGAGATCAGCTGTGGCCATAGGGAAAGGCATATTCCCAGACGCAGGCTCCTGATGCTGATGCTGACTGTCAGGGCCTGGCTGGCCCGCACTGGTGAAACCGCCTTTTACAGTCATGGTCTCGGCCGCCGGAGCATTAGAGCATCCCAGCAAGTGCTTGCACACAGATACGACGTCAATGGACTGCGAAAAGTCTCGCAGGTTCGCCGCGGGAGAATTTCGTTGAGGAGGATTGGTTTCGCACACGATATCCTGATGAGTTGAGAAGGCTTTTCAACTGAGAAAATGTCCAAGTCGTCACGTATTAGTTATTACAATGATTGCATGCGGCAGTGGTCGTCTCAGTTTTGGGTCGTCTCCTAGAAAAGAACAATGGGCTAAGACACTCGAATGCCTATGACTCGAGAGGCCTTGGATTTTGGCGGTTGGTTGTCAGAGCGGCGTCCTTGGAGCGTGCGAAACGGGTTCCTCCGAAACGAGCGAAAAGGATCAAAGAAACGTCGTCGAGGAAACCTGGGGAAGTGAAGTTTGCAGAGATTGAAACAAAGAGAGGAGCCGAGGGTTTGGGTTGCTAATACGATATTATGATGTGAGCTGAAACCGCGGGAATTAAGTACGAGAGTGATGTTGGCAGACACAAGGAAAGAAAGAAGATGAAGTCGGTGTAGGTGAGGGGACGAGTATGCCCAAGCTGCCCAATAAAGAGGAAGACGATGGGAACCCAGACGACGTGTCCGTCCAAGAGCAATGGATGGGATTGAGGAAAAGACTGAGAATGAGAATGAGACCAGGAGAAAAGGTAGGTAGAGAGAGCAAGGCAAAGGCGAGACAAAGAAGAGGAGGAGTTTCTAAAATGTTTGAATAACTACTAAGTTAGTAGTTTGGCCTCGCCAGACGAGAGGGGACGAGAGGAGCAAGACGTCGACAAGGGCTTTAAGATCCAGGATGGACGGGACGGTCCCTTTTTCGATCCAACAACAGCAAGCAATGGATGGATGGATGGCAAGCAAACTAAACAGGGGACCTACTCAAGAGCAGAGATTTAAAGGATGAAGGCACACGGTTAAACTCTTGGCCTCCTTGTCATGGATATAAAACACTGCCGATGAGTGGTAGAAACTTTGTTTATATGATGGGCTATTAAGAAGGAAAGGCCTCAATCACATCTTCAAATGCAGCCATGGTCACCAATTGCTGAAACATCCATATCAGCACACGACGATATCATCGTTTGCGTGCGTGCTTCATTGACTCGCTTGAATCTGCGAACCCTGGCAACCAGAGTGGAATCGCTGGATGCAGTTCTCGCACAAACGAGACCGGAACCATCTTTCTGGCTTGCAGCAAGTACATCAACAAGCCTGGTCTTTTCTGACAAGGAACAAGGGGCAGGGGACAAGGGGACGTTCGTTTGTTGGATCTGCAATTGAGACTTTGAGGGCATGCTCCCGGAGCCTGCAGCGAACCTGGACGCCGTCGTTCATTGACATTGACATCTGATGCTGTGTTGCAGTAACCGACAAACCATCTGCTGCATTGAGGCACACCCGGCAGTTTCTGGAGTACAGCCTACCACGCGCACAGGTACATAACGCATACCTACCTTAGGTAGTCACCTAAGGTACTAAGGTACCTTACCTCAGGTCGGTAGTCTACCTTATGAGCAATGTTCATGCCCCTTTTCCCAGCATATGCTCTCCGTTTATACATATCACATCACTTTGCTTCTCCAGACATGGTATCCGTGATGTGTCAGTGTCTGTTAAAGATAACAGTTATACTACTAACCTTACGGGCCGCAGATGTATCATTCCCGCGACTGGCCTGAGCTTCGTCTCGTCTTGTCCTTGGGTGATTGGGCCATTTCGAATTACGGCTAAGCATGCCTCCTAATCCTCAGTCTGAGTCTCAAACCCAATCCCTTTGCGGATATCGGCTCCCCCATCGTCCATTCGGGAATGCAACTCACCTCCCTTGTCGTCATTTATTTAGTGGTAGAGCATAGACCACCGTTGAAATCAACCACCCGATGACCTAACGGTAAACGGATGTCGGATATGGTAGCAAACCCATGCACTAGGGGCCAGCCCGTGGCTCGAGGAGGCTGGTTCAGCTCAACGAGGGATAGCCGTAAACACCACAGCCCTTAACTTATCTCCATCCTGGTGCTGAAACAGAGGCTCTCTGGGGTTGCGTTGCATCGCGCCACTCTCATCCTTCGATACTGACATTTTTGACGCAGTGTCAAGGGGCACAAAGCAAACATAAAATAAGCTGGTTGGTTATTATTAAATAAGCTGTCATGTTTTCATCTCGAGCCATAATTTCTAAGGCGCGTTCGCTTCGCATAAGTGTCTCTTAGCATGATATGTGTATACTGAACTGCTATGATCAATGGTTTCAGTACCACGTAGCGCGGAGTTCCACATGGCTAGCAAACGGCCAAGGAACAAGTCCCTGTTGACGCGAACCATTCTCGCCTCGCTCAATTTCTGCTCCCTCTCTGTTGTCGCCATATGTAGTAGTTGAGGCGAGCAAGGGTGTCCCCTTGTCCAATCCTCTGAATACCCTCAACGAGCGCTTTCCTCCTCGTAATCGACGGCTCGCCTATTATTCCTGCAATATAAAGGCTGGCTAGCTGTTTTGCTGAAGGTGCAGATCTATGTATTTTTGCTTCTTCCTGTCCGCGGGGTTGAAGCCCTCATCCATTGCATTGGAAAGGACTGTGTCAGGAGCGAAAGTTGCTATTAGGACAACAGCACCTCTATCGTAACTTTCTTAACTTGTAAAGAACCTATTAAGAGGTCTTACTCGTCTTGTTGTGGTCGTTTTGCTTTGCCATGGTGCCTCTGGCGTCCTCATGTTAAAGTGTAAGTCTAACGCTGAGACAAAGAGACCTAGGATACGGATCCTCATTAATGCCATAGGCCAATTTCACTCTATTTATATCTAATACTCGGTCCATCTAGCTACATATAATATTCCTTTTACATTTTAGGTCCGTTTGGTGGTGTTGTTGATAAACTCAATGAGGGAGAAATCCAACAAGACGGACTAAGCACTTCAAGTGCCCCGAACAGGGAATAGCATGGAGATGTATAGCCGAAGGGCATTCACCTGTCTACTTCATCCATTCATGTCAGTGGTCCTTCGGTGCTCTTGTCGTAATATTAGACAGATAGAGGTAGAATGGTAGTTTCTACCCCTTGAAGTATCAATTTCCCGTGTTGCTTCGAAAGTACTAACCTATGCAGCTGTGCTCTTTGATGCAATACTACTATATATGGTAACTAGGCTCGATTAGAGCTTAACGACAGTCTTGGTTGTCACTTGATACATGTTTTCTAATGCTCAGATTGTGCATGTAGAGATTGCATATCACATGTGACGCTCTTCTTGAACTGTTGATATCGCTTATGGTTTGTGTGGTGGTATAAATGTCTGATTGTGGTTAATTGTTATTTCTGTCACAGGTGTGATGTTTCCATTCAAACAATACCAGCACGCATCAACAAACTCCAAAACCCTTCTCAATTACAAAACAGCTCTATTTAGCAAGAACAATACCGAGCTAAAGCATATATGTTATAGCTGTAGTGTTCCAGGCAACAAATACTGGATAATGAAAAGAAAATTGTGTAGCTTACCCTAAACGCAGATGATATTGGGAATATCATAGATACATAAGGACTAAGTAATGTCAATAAATATCTGTCTTAACTATCATACCAAACATAGTATATATAGAATCATATGCCCCCAGTTTAAACCACTGCTTCTTCACTGATATCACTTTATCTGTTCTTAGACGCAAGGTCGATTGGTCACGTGCCAGGCGGTATTAATACTGTTTGGTCAAGGCAGCAATTGCGCCACTGAGGCAGATGAACCTTATAAAATTCTGACTTCTGAGATACGGGCCAACTATAGGGGCCTTATTGTTTAAGCCTTTGTATGAAAAGTTAAAAGCTCGATGGCCTCATAAGGCTGACGGCAAGGGGGAAAAAAAATAGAATTGTATGCAAGGTAACTTCGAAAGCATTCTCAAGAAGATAAAGTGTTATAATGTGTCTCTGCCATGAGTTGCCTTGATTGCCTAGCCTGGCGTAAGTCAACACATGAATGATTATGGTGACCAAGAAACAGAAGATAAATTCTGTAACACAACTCCAGCTCCATGTATCGTTCAATTAGCATCGTCTCCCCCTGACCGTTGAATTTCTAGACTGAGACAGAAGTGTATTTAGAGACCCATAACCTCCATGGCAATGGCAGAACTCACAATAACCATGTATGATACTAATGCTGTAGACCAAATTTAACACGAAGTTGTTCATACTGGCGTGAGTTATTGGTATCGACTAAACCCAACAAGGAAACATAAAGGCCCTATCTGCTTATGTACATTAACTTAGTTGTTTACTGACTTAGTATGTAGAATAACCCTCTAGTAAATAGTCACACAAGGAGCAAGTAACCAAATCACATGAAATCCTGGTAGTAGAATTTTCATCAGACAAGACCTAGTAAAGCTTAAGTAGAACACCTCCGAGTCCCAAACTTGATCGGGTTCCTCGGTAACGTGCTCACGTTGAACCTGAAACAAACAACGATATACCCATGCACGGAAAAATATCGTTGCACCTGATATACTTCTCTAACGGACTGGTCAAGAATCAGCGTTTATTTCCTTTGACAGTGCCATATGATCCTGGGGAATATCTCCTTGATACCACGTAAGTGATCCATTCACACGCGGACGACGATTAGGTTTCGATGCCATTCCATGCCTAAACAAACGCGGGACCATATCCTTGTTTCACTACGAAGAAATAATCAGTCACCTCAATATATCAGCTACAGTGCGTAGAGTCGGATCCCCATGTATTAAGTGACCGGCATTCCGTATTATGTACGTGCGAGACGGTCGAGACACGACGGAGGACGGAGGACCGAGGTCATCAATAGCATCGAACTGAGACCTGCCTTTATATGAGGTATACTGTTCAAGAGACAGCACGGTGTACATAGTAGAGAAACAGGCCAGTTCTATCACAGATCCCTACTGATGCTACCGGAGCCTCAGTTTCAAGTCATTACTTAGCCATACGTGATACAAGGACGAGAATCAAGGGTTGCCCTGGAGATATGGGGTTTTCGTCACAAATTTGCTGTGTCCGAGACTCACAGGCGAGCGAGTTGCAGCTTCAAGAATCTGTGACTGGGTAGATATTGAACCCGCGGCAACACAAGACAGCACAGCCATTGACTTGAAACAAGCGCAGTTGCGGCTATGCAGTCTGCAAGGTAGTATAATGAGATGAGAACAACTTTGTACGATGCAGTTGACTGATAACAAACTCGGGTTGAATCCTAGAAGTAGTTACTACTGACAGGGCTAGTTCAAGTTTGGGACGAAACTGCACAGACTTGCTACAAAGAAAGAGACATCTATTCTGCAACTTTGCTGAACCTCGAGGACACTCATGAATTGTAACATTGAGCGCCCATTCCGGGTCCAAGTCCAAGTCCAAGCGCCTGGATATCAGGAGTCAGGGGATAGGAGAGAGATGTGCGGGATGATGTTATTAATGATGATAGAAATGGTGATCGAGAGTTGCGCGGTCCAGGGTGAAGCGACCCTGTAATGGAAAGTCTCGTTTCAGATCAAGACCCGTCTTATTTTTGGGTCTTGTAAAGGTGTAGTTTTAGCGACGAGGATGCAGACTAAGGTATGGTTCCCAGCAGGACCAGACAGCCCTGTGTAGTAACCAAGGCACAGTGAAGTACTCCTTATCCTATGCTGCAACATTCAGGTGAACCAAACACCTCACCTCACCTCATCAAAGGAACGGTTGGAATCCTCTTTTGTCTCCCAGAGGCGATTTCCTAAACGGCAGGAGATGATGGGACTGTATTGACAAACCCTGCAGGGGTAATAATAAGGGATATATTAACTTGGTAGATTGCTGATCAACATCTAGCGCAGAAAGCCACGAGTTTTGGAAGAAGAAGCCTGCAAGCGCAAGCTTAAAAAAAAAAAAAAGGGACCCAACTCGATATTGGATGTCATTGGAGGTTTGGTTCCATATAGTCCAGGCAAATTTGACGTGCAGTAGCCAGTAGCCGATGCAGCCAATCTTGTCTAGCAGTCTGAATTCTCCTTCTTCCCCTTGGGCACTTGGGCTTCCTCTGACTGCATGTATGCATCTGGTAGGTGAGTGAGCGAGCGTTAGAAAAAAAGCTGAAACTCGATGGGGCTCAAGACTTTCCCGCTTTTTCATTCCCTAGGCCAGGGGTTTCGGACTGTGAGCCACTCTTGTTGTAGCTTGGCGCCATTTGATCTGCCGTCAGAGGAGGCTAAGGAGGAAAAGTGCGGCCCGGTCTGTTTCTGAACATGGTTGAATTAATTGGTGGCTGAACTTGTTGTGGATGAATGGAGATGGACGGAGACGGACGAACAGCTTGGTAGCTTGGGTAGCTTGGCTTGGATCTGCTTCTTTCACATACCGATGGGAAATATTTCCGACACAGTTTTCAAATTCTCATTAACTAACTCCTAACTTGACCTAAGGCACCTACGTGCTTTGACAATGGACCAGAACAGTGGCAAAAAGGAACTTGACTCATTGCAATATTGGACTGTGATGTGGTTCTCAGCTCGATATAAATAAACCTTCGTATTATAACACATCTTGAGTCCAAGTCGTCAGTCGTTAGTCTCTTTTTAAAAAGTCTCCACCACTTTAACGCCAATAGTCCTGGATTAGTACTATGTGTCAGCTTTCACTTCTGAAAATCCATTCTTATTCTCCATTCAAGTTGGCCTCCGATGACTTGACGTGTTCTTGGTGAAGAATAGAAATGTCTCCCAAAACTGGAAACGCCGCAGTGGCGCAAACCAACCGAGGCTAAGCCACGAGACCACACAGCTCAACTCCGACAGCCACTTAACCCTAATAAACAACAGGCCACGCGAGCCGAGCACTTGGTTGTCGCGTTTCGATCGATATCGTATCCAATTTGTATGACACTCTGCTGCCCGGCCAGCGAACACCGTAGCCATAGCCAGACCGCAGCCAGTGCACTTCTTCCCAGGGCCCAGGACCCAGAACCCAGAACCAGAACCCAGAACCAGAACCCAGGTAGCCAGGCTGGGCCGGTCCCGTACGGCAACAGGCGCAGTAACGTTAGTTGACGGTGGAGGAACAGGGGACACCCCTTTGCCCCCGTCTCTGCACTGAGCCGCCTATCTCTAACAGTCGCAGAGAGGTTACCTGGATGTTGGAGGTTACAGAAGGCCCCTTGCCCGCCTGTGACGCCGCCAACAGATGGACGAATCACGGCCAAGGGGCCGGGGTCAGGCCACGCTTTTTTTGCCTTTGCTCGGACTGGCGACGGCGTTACGGAGTGGCGTGCACCAGCAGCAGAGTTGAGACAATAAGTGCCAAAGAATTATATGTATGGTTTATCTGAATAAGTTTAATTGGTACTATAATCCAGCCAGTTATGAGACGATATGAAGAGCTGCAGCCCTACATAACAAGAGGTTGGAGGATAGAAGCTTAATAAGGTACGGAGTAAGGTAATAACAGTACAGGTCAAGGAAAAGTTGTTTGGAATTGAGTTGAGGAGGTTGGATGACGAAAGGGGAGACTTAGTACCTTATGATGTGCATGTGTACCGTACCTCAACGTTGGAATCTTGGAAGTCAGTTCTTGTCTTCAACTCCTGACGGACTGACTGATATTAGATGCATCGCCGACTGGCTCGATTGTCTTCTTACTTGCCCATCGCTTCCTAATCCCGTCAAGATCTCAGATAGCCCCATTTGTCCTTTAG